CCAAATTTTAATCATTTACGATGAAATACATATCCAGGAACAAAAATGTAAAGCGGATTAGCTATTACCATCACTGTATTGTGTCAATTGGCAAATAACCTCCACATTCCCTATCCTCGCAGTACAAATTTATCTTTTTGTGACGTCACAAAAAGATTTTCAGTGACTTTCGGGGGGAATTTTTGGGGGTAAGGCATTGTCCAATACGTTTAATATTGGGTGTCCGAGGTTTTCCAATGACTTTCTAAACAATGATGATAAGATTTTGGATTTCTAGAAACCGTTTCATATCCATTTTAAGCTTGACCCATTATTCTGCGCATTTCACCAATTAGAAGACAACGAATTATATTAAAAGCACACAACCTTGTATCAACAACTGCACTAAATGTGTAAAGACCCTTTATGCTATTAAGCTAACAAATCCTAAATTATTAAACGCTAAATTTTTCCTCGATTCATTTGTACTCTTTTGTATTTTCAGACAATAATGTATACTTTTGACAATGTATTAAAAATTCTGAGTTAATTTAAAACGTTGATAAACACAAAAGGCATCCGGCCTACTATACAGATGAACAGAAACTCAATTTTTGGTGACTAAACAAATTTAACGAATGTAATTGGTACTTCAGTTATACTGTGTTAAAATACTTTCACAGCTCATCACAGATCACTTCAAAAAGCTTATCTGTAATGGAAAAAATATAATCATAAGTACTTTTGAATATACATTTTTTTCATTGCTTAATATAACATATTACCCAACGAATGATTCTCGTATTCTGGTATATTTTCCATTTTCTTGTATATCGTGGTTATTGAACATAAATAACTAGTAGTGCATAGAGACAAGATACATATGCAAAGGAATTTATCTCAGTTAATATAGAACTACAAGACGGAGAGGGTGAGAGGGAGAGGAGAGGGTAGACCACTGATGTATCCTGACACAATTGCAAGAGATAGGCCTAGGCCCTGCTGGTATTGCGCTAGCACTGGTCAAAGCGCTGTGGCGTGTCCGAGTGTCATCTATCTGATGATGGCTAGACGGATAATTGGTTATGTATTTATACTAACGTATTGTGGATATAAAGGCCTAGCAGTTATGCAATTTAATGGAGTTCCAGATTCCAGAATTTGGATTCACGTACTGTATGAATATTGTATTATACGTGATGAAGTACGGGTAGGGGGTAAATGAAAATGTGATGATTGTCCACGACATCGATGTGTTTGATTGTTTTGTCCAAAATATACAGCACGGGATTGAGGTAAAGTATTATCCTGGACATGGATATTTCTATATTAAGGTCAAGTAAGCTAAATATTAAATAATTTTCAATTTCAAAAAGATCAGTCGTGCGCGGCGGGTAGTGTAATGCGTAATATTTCAAATCAATTCAATGCGACTTTACTTCCAATTCCATCATCAATATACATTATGAAACATGAGTAATTCAAACATAACAATTATAATAAATGTAATTATTAAATTATAAGGAATTGGAAAAGGGCATACAAAGCAAGTATAAACTGTTATCATGTATCCCTAATGATAATAACAATAATAATAATAATAATAATAATAATAATAATAATAATAATAATAATAATAATTAATAAATAATAATAATAATAATAATAATAATAATAATAATAATAATAATAATAATAATAATAATAATAATAATAATAATACACATATTACATATGGATTTATTTTGAAATAAAATCAATCAATCCATCAATAAAAAATAATTTAATTATATGTATGCGTGTGTCAGAGAGGGGTGATGTATTGAGTATATTCAGGACAATGACGGCTCCAGCGGCTGTCTCTTATACACATCTAGATGTGTATAAGACCCCTCCCCAGAAAATATACCCTAGAGCGGCCACTGGTTCAGGAGTGTGTGTGAGAGAGGTGAGAGAGATAGAAAAGTAAGATTTTACTTACGGGCAGCAGCCGGTGGCACAGCAAGTTTTCGGGCACATTTTATAGGCGTCCGTAGAAAATATAGGCGCATTACAATATGGTCTATATCTTTCGCAGAGGTTTGGGTTACTATCAACACAATCAGCTGTATGGAAAAAAATTAAAAGCAGCTGTGAACATTTATATTTTTACGTAGAAAACATATAATCTATAATGGAAAATCACTAACAATCCTCTACATGAAACATAATTATTTCAATTTATATTTTGAAACATGATAAATAATAATGATAATAATAATAATAATTTCTGTAATAATAATAACAACAACAACAATAATAATAATAATAATAATAATAATAATAATAATAATAATAATAGTAATATAATAATTTATAAAACGTCAATATCATTAAACCGAAGTAAAAATCGATGGCACTGCGTATGTTTAGATGCTAAAAAGGTGGGTTTTTTTAAGTTTTGTCTTAAAAGTAGCAACGGAGGGTGATTCGGCAAAATTTTTAGGGAGGGAATTCCGAAGAGGGGTAGCTAAAAATAAAAATTATCTGGGGCCTAAGGATTTGATGTTAATTGTATGAACAATGAGCAAATTTAGGTCAGAATAACGGAAGGAGGGTAATGAGATTTGTTATGAGTACACTGGATTAGCACTGAGCTAATGAGAATGTGAATCACCAGCGACGATCAGCGATATTTTTCTCTATGTTTCATATCTTTATAAATATTTTTCTTATAATTATTTGGATTGAATCTGTTGCAGTCAATCAAAGCAAGGGTCAATAGCCTTTTATTTTTTCGGCGCTATGTCCATTTGTTGAGGTGGGTGTAAACAAACTAAATACTTTTGACAAATTTGTTAACGATAATCGATTTAGGTCATTTTCGTCCATCTAGTACCATCCATCTAGTACCATATCCAAACATTTCGTATAGCAACCTCCCTATGGTTGGGACTGAGTTACTTTTTCCAACCTGAGCGCTTTGATCACCTTTTTTTTTGTTTGAATAAGTGCAATAGAAGTAAAAATAATAATAATAATAATAAAAATCCACTAGCTTCTTGTGAGCGAGTGTTACTGTAAGCCAGAACTGAACATTCGCCTTTTCTCCTGCGTTGATTTTTAAAAATTGTCGGGAATGTCAATCCATATAAACGTTTCAGGTTATTGCTTCTTGCGATAGTACCGGTACGTTACTGTAAAAGCAGAAAGTCATGTAATGTTATATGTTATATATGTAAGTTGCCTTATACTCACGGTTTGCATCGTCCTGAGCGTCAGCTCCTTTGTTCTGAAATTAAGAAAATAGGCCTATATCAACGTCGGCACAATATTTCTTTTAAATTCAAAGCATCTTCAACTTCATAATGCATATAATAATATAATAATAATAACTATTAATGAATTTGAAATGTCAATAAATAAAGGAGAAATAATATTGTTCTATTATTGGTCCGCACGAAGCGCTGACCCAGAGCCTCACTGTTATTGTTGTTGTTTTTCTTTTGTAAACAAAACTTTAAACAATTTAAGAGCGTCCAGTGTCGCCAGTTTTGGACGGACTTGCATGACATTTTGTACACATAAATTAGAGGTGATTTCCAACAGACGTTCATCGCTCTTTTTTTAAGATTGTCCCCAGGGTCCCCCCTACACCTAGAAAACAAACAAAACAGGGGTTTCAAACTTTCAAAGCGTCCAGCGTCGCCCGCTTTAAATGGAAGTGCATGAAATTTTGTACACATAAACTAGAGGTGATTTCAAACAAGCGTTTATCGCCCTTTTTTTAAGTTGGTCCCCAGGGTTCCCCCTACACCTACAAAACAAAACAGGGGTTTCAGCAAGGACTGTACATTACTACCATTTACCACTACCGTAATAGTGTACGGTACGTCGCATGAATGGCGCAGTTGGTTAAGGATGTGTTCTAAAGAACTTAAAGTCGAATCGCGTATTTAGCAAGTTTGAATCTCGTATTTATTTTTTTTTTTTCATTTTGTCAAACAGTTCTCATTAAAAAGGAAAATTAACACCGAGGCGCGATTAGAACTCCCAAACTTCGGTTAAGGGTGTTCCAGAACTTAAGATCGTGAGTTCGAAACGGCTCTTGGCATTCTATTTTTTTTTCAATTTCAAGTATTTTAATTTGGTACAAATAATCATTCTAAACAATGTTTTTTTTTTTCTTGTACAAATAAACATTCTAAACATAAACATGTCGCATGAATGGCGCGGTCAGTTAAAAATGTGTGCTAAAAAACGTAAGGTCGTGAGTTTGGTCTTGGTATTCTACTTTTTTCCCCAATTTATTTATGTTAATTTTGTACAAATGATAATTTGTTCGTTTGTACAACTTACTTTGGCACTGTACGTGTCCTGCATAATCTATGTTTATTATATGTTTATTACAGTATTTAAGGAGATTTCGCAACCTTACGAAAACGATAACTAATACGTCATTATCGTTATTCGTAAATAAAACATTCTTGACAATATGCTGTGCAAGATGGGTGAGTGATTCAATTCGCAGGGTCGACACAGAAATTTTCTGAAGGGGTTGGGGAGCCAATAGGTAATTCACACCCACCTGAGCCACCATAGTTGGGGCTGAAGTGAGCAAATTTTAAGAAAAGGCCTATTTAGACGCTTTCAGATGGTAAAATTGCTTTTTCAAAGCAGTGTTCCTCCTCGATAGAATTATTGACCTCTTCCCGACGGGAGCTATTCTTCCCCTTCCTTAGACTTCCCTTAAAAGGCGTCTCAAAGGTCTAATTAAGGACATATAATCTATTCTATACTTGAGAATTAAAAGTAGAATATTTTATCTACATTTTTTGAAAAAAAAATTGTGAAAAAAAGCAAAAATAAAAACAAATATGTTCTGCCTTAGACAGTGTAATGAACTTATACAAACTTATGAAAAAATCATACATTGAAAAGTACTGGGGGAAGATAGCCGGGGGAAAATAGCCGACCGAGAGAAAAAAAATCACCCAGTTGAAAAAGCAGGGGGCAAGATTATATTAATAGTGCTATTTTCAGTAAAGTAAAACTTAAAACCACCTCGATTTTGAGTCTACGCAATTAACAAGCCTTCCAAGATTTTGCCAGGTATAGCTAGAACTTACAATACTAATCTTTGGCGTTTGTTGATCGTTTATGTATTCACACATAATGGAAAATTATTATCAAAAGATTTACTTTAAAAAAAAATTATCATTTGTACTAGTATTATTTTTTCACACGGGTCAGATCTAACGGCTCCGCGGGCCAGATTTAGCCAGCGGACCGCCTATTAAGAACCGGGATCTATATACTGATATAAAATAATATGTAAACAACGATTAGTACTAGGCCCTACTTTTCAAGTGATGTTTCTTTGTCAATTATAGTGTACGGCCCAATTAATAAGACATTATGATCACTCCTTAAGTGGTGGATACATAATGCCATCAATAATAAATTCCTTAGTCACATCGTTATTTATATTGCAGGGCTAAATTCCTAACAAAAAATATAGGCCTAGTAGGACTTTATCATCTCGGACGATTTCATTCCTGTGTAGTATTTCCGATTTTAAAATTCTCAATCAATAATCGACATAATTCGTTTTATTTTAAAGAGCACTTATGAAATGAAATCACAATACCATTTTCATCAGTTAAAGCTATATTAGTAGCTATTATTTTATCAGCATTTTAAAGAATTTGTCTTAAATGTTAATGATAGGCTTACTTTTGTATCAATGATAATCTTGTTAAAAACAAACTTTTAAAATCGATCATCAACGTCCTTAAAACAGAAATAAAAACTCTGAGGCTTGGGCTCTTAACTGACTAGTAGTCTTAGCGACCTGCAGCTAAAATAAGGTACCGTAAACCATGAGACACATCCTCGATTTACGTATTAAGCTTCTCAAATAATTACAGAAATAAAATGTCTTATTAGGAGAATACTCATGAATAATATAAACATGCTCTAAATATAATAATGTTAATCTATATAATAATTATTGTATTTTCATAATAGAAGATGCATTTTACTTAAATAGATTAAAAAAAACAACGTAAATAAAAGTAATTCAATTTTTATACTCATATGAAAAAGATTAGATTTTTTTTAATATATATAACAACATATCTTGGGATCTTATTTACTGTCCCGTTATGTACATTTCAAATCGTCAGTGCTCATTATGCACGTATATAACACGGAGTTATATATCTATTATAGGCCCAATAGTGTGACAAAATAATGTATGACCTATACATTTGAAACAAATAGTTGTGGATAAAATGACAAAGGTTATCTTACCGATAATATAATGGCCATGCTGATAAAGACGAGCAATGTGACTTTGAAGACCATCTTGAATGATGAGCGTATTTTGACTGACTGAACTTCCTTAAAACGGTGATTCTAGGGTAAGAGTTTGTTGCTTACTGACCAGTACAGGATTCTTTTCTCATTTTTATACTTCCCTCGCGAATATTTAATTCCTTAAGGTGTATGCGCTAACAAGTAATCTTTGGCTAAAATAAAGGGGCGTCAACAACCAGTCCTTTGTGTACATGCAAATAAGTGTCTTCATTAGCATATGGACCACAAATCAGAGCGTAAATTGCATGACCTACTTAGTAACTTAAAGAACAATGCCTAACGGTGCTATAATAATGTAATTATGCAATAACTTTTACGTTTATGGACTTGGAGATTTACATAAGTTGATGACAGTACATCATGATCGTGACGCGTAAGCCTACAGAGAGTTTATTCACATTGAACTCGATGGATTATTTCAATCTGAATATTCATAAATGTATGTGTAAGTACACCAATTATAGTTCATCGGATTAGTGTGAATTGCTTAGAATATGCGTAGGTCTATATAGTTGATGAGTATATTATTGTAATTTTGATTAGGTAAGTATGTTCGTGTTTTCCGTTCTCCACAACGTCAAGTTATTTGTCATCGTAATATCTCACATCGTAAACTATGACATAGAACAAAAGCATGTTTCTACAATATTTATGCTATTGTATGCGAACGTGGTGATATTATTGATAGTATCGGTGTTTGTTCTGTTTTGGTTGTTACATTACTAATTATTTTACAGTATCAACTTTACATGCAGAAAGATCCAAACCACCCGTAACTCAGTCCTAACATTGAGGATTCTTTCTTGGGCTTATGGCGTTTAGATGCCACCACTAGATCCTCTGTAATAGCACTCTCAGATGTTTTTGTTGAAAAGAGAAGTTTTGCTGTTATCTCGATTGACATTGATACATGCGTGAGCAGTTCAAACTGCGTATTGGCTTATTAGAATTTAAACAACATCTATCTGTTTCATGAACGAAATTATTGTCGTTTAAACACAACTATGATATTTAATTATTGCAAAAATACAAAACAACGAATGACCTACGACGCTGGGAAGAAAAATAATTTGAGTATTGAGTTGATTATAATACGCTTAGAATTTTTAACATTGTTAGTTAAAAATCAGCATAGGCTGTCATATTAAGTTTGTTGAATATTTATTTTAAAGAAATTCAAACTTTTCTAGCTCAACTACAGCTCCACTATGTGATAACGTTTCAGTCAGTTATACCAGGAGGTTAGATCTGCAAGTATATCCAATAGGTCTCTGTGGTCTAATGGGTATGATACTGGTATTGATAGCGAGAGGTTGTAGGTTAGAATCCCACCAGACAGTTTTTTTGAAACTTTTCGTTGACGAGGTATGCTTACGATTATTACATGTTTCTATTCCAGCGCTGTTATTATTATTTATCATGAATATATTAATATTTATCTACCTATGAATATATATCTGTCTCTTATACACATCT